TGGTTACGCGGTATGTTAAAATGCCGTCTAAAATCTCGACGCGTTTGCATTAAACTCTCGCCATTTTGGTAATAAGCCTTAATTGCGTAACCGCGATGCTCACCCGTCCAACGCTCCATTGTAGACTAAATGGCAAGCCACTCGCAGTGTTGGCAAGTAGTAAATGACAGAAATCTGAGAATGGCCGCCTGGAATTCACCAGAAGTCACTAGGTGGCGGAAAAGCCCGCCGCAGGCGAAAATTTTTTTTTTGGTGATTTTTTTCTCCAAAATCTAGTGATTTCTAGTGACTTTTCACAACAAAATCACCAATTTTATTATTAAATAAGTTTGCAACCAAACGTTCAACATTGGACAAATTCCCTAAAATCACATCATTACTGTTTAGCGGAATTTTTCGAAAGAAAAAAAATTTCCCTTATGACGGCTTTGTGCGTCCGTCTGTTCCTCGTATAACTCGAGAACGAAAAGAGACAGCGATGTCAAACCTTTACCAATCGATTTCTACAAGTTCAAGCATCAGTGCTATTGAATATGAGCCGAATTAAAAGTCGCGTTTCCGGATGCGAGCTGGCAAAAAATTCACCTACTGAAAATCGTATGCGATTCTTCGTATCTTGTTTCTTTCATAACATAATAGGACTACTTACCTACTACAGCAAATAGGACACATTTTTATTGATAACTCAGTTTATTTTAAACATCTACAAACTACAAACCATAAAACAAAAAATAAATGTGGTTTATACATAAATATAGATTTCTGAAGAGATGCACAACCCCACCTACCTCTTTGCTTACATTATTCTCACATTGAATTGTAATACACAAGTTAATGTAAAGAGACAAAAAGCAAAATGTTGATCATCCTCCGTGATAAAACAAAACTTAACGCATATACATAAAATATTGTGGTAATACAACAGAATTCACTTAACTATTTGTAGCATCGATTACATTATTTTAATTATTGCGTATGTATTAGATAAGTATACCTATTGCAAGTCTTACAATAAAAGAGATTAAAAACAAGGAACAAAATGTATAGGTATTTCACAGGTCATAGCTTATGGTTTAATATCACTTAACTCAATTATCAGTCATCGCTTAGTAGTTCATTTACATCAACATCATCTTCATGATGTTTTGAATATGACTCGTTAGTGCCAATTTGCTTGCAAACTTCATCAGGCAACGTATAACTCTGACAACATTTGCCAATCCTCTTCAAACCAAACCTAATATGAAGTATGCTGTCTAGCAGATCAAGCAGCATCCGGTTTCGCAACTTGCTTTTAATGACGTTCATCTGACTAAAAAGTCTCTCAACATCTGCGTTTGAATGTGGCAGACAGAGTACCGCAAACGCAAGATTCACAAGAGGTTGGAAAGGATTTTCATCACTGGCATTTCTATATTTCGCTACTTCTAACCAAAATAATTCAGTGTTTTCTTTGTTCTCCCAAGGAATAGTGTGTAACTGCATCCACGCATTTTCGATATTATTAATTTCAAAATTGTCACTGACAAACTGAGAGGCCAACTCAGAAATTGACATCTTTAATGGCTTTCTCGCTTCTTGAACAGAAAGCATATTCATTGAACTTAAAATATTGACATTATCAGGTAGTCGATTTTTTAGCTCCTTCGCTAGGTTGATAAGGAATGCAACGCATTTGCTCTGGATCTCAGTCTTTTCTGAAGCACCGATTTTGTGTACGGTACAAGCATTCTCAAATGCGAATCCAAGGTAGATATTGGGGCTTAAGAATCTCTCAATATTGAATTGCTCGTCGAAAATATCCACACGATGCATTGGATTAACAACGAGGTTTATTACGGTTGAGTACAATTGCTTTAAATCATTGAGAAGCTTCGTAGGGTCTGCAGTTTGTGATTCAAAGTGCTTGTTAGTTTTTTGTACCATTGTAAGTATCGGGTATAGAAAATTAAGGTATACTAAATTGGCTGACTTTGAATATAGCTGATATAACATATCCGCAGAATGATCCGTCAGGCGCACAATATTGAAATGATCTTTCAGGGTCTCCCATTGATCAAGTATTCGTTTGACAGCTGGCTCAATTGAAATCCACCGTGTGTCGCTCATTCTGAGAATCTTCAAAGGCGTTTCATCGTTATTGAGAGTTTTGTAGACGTTCACATATGCAATCTGTCGAACTGACGATTGAAACCAGTTATAAGTTTCTCTTATTAAAAAGTCGATTTCTGGTGGCAATGTTTTCTCGGTAGATTTCGAAAGAGCCAACTGTAAGGAATGGCACACACAACGCACCAGCCGTAGGTGCGGAATTTCCGATTTCAATAACGCGAAAACGCCGTTGTTCACACCTACCATTGCAGCAGCGTTATCTGTACCCATGCCCTGCAAATTCTGCAAAGGTAACTTGTGCTTTTGCAACACCTGTTTCACAGTCTCTGTAATGCATTTTGCTGTACCATCTTCGATATGCGCCAGTTCAAGATGCGTTGTCACTATTTTATTCAAATTTATGCTGTGATAACGTATCACTATCCCTAGCATTTTTGAAACCGATATATCAGTCGACTCATCGATGATAAGACTATAGGGGTTGTTACCAATGTCCTCAATTAGTGCCTTTCGGAAATGGGGTCCTATGACGTTCTTAATTATTTGGGTGCATTTGGTACGGTGAATTTTTATGGTTTCGGAATAGTCTTTGTGGAGGTCACTTAGATGATCAATAGACCTAACACTAGTGTGTACAGCAGAATACATACAGAGTTGCGCTTCTTTTCGCTGTTGCTTGCTGATGACACTTAGAGGTTGAAATTGAATTCTTTGCTGAGAAGCAGAAGAAAAAGGCCGCGCATTTTGAATGTGCTTATCTGTCTTGGTATGTTTTTGAAGATCGGCAAACCTGGCAGCCAATAAGCATTTGCAATATTTGCAATAAGCTTTTATGTTGTCGGTTGTGCAACGTTGTAGCCAGCCTTGGAACTCTTTCAGTTTCTCCCACTCCTCCCGATATTTCTGGGAGTACGGTATCTTATGCTTAGGCACTAAAAAAGACCATATCATAATAAGAACGTCATACGTGAAAATGTCGGTAAACTGGACACAATCAGTTTAAAGGTTTACGTTACTTACTTATTTCGTGTCACTGATGCATGGATGATGGAACGCCTACACAGCACGACTAATCGTAGGGCCAGTGACCTTCAGCGCACCTATATGAAAAATATATTTAAAAAAATGTATGTAAGAAATCCTCAGATTACCTATAACGAGCGACAAAAATGAGTTGCTGCCGAGTCGCCTTTGGAAGTTCAAGTTAAATACGATTTCCCATGTAAACAACAATTCCAAAGGCGACTCGACAGCAACTCATTTTTGATCGCATTGTACTTACTGCTTTCGAGTCTCCCACTGAAAAATCTTACGGTACGCAACGTGTTTGGCGTTTCTGCAACGGCAAATACAACTCTTAGATTCAAATTTCAAAGCACGGAAACGAAAAGCATGAAACGAAAATATTTACTTTTACTCAACTGGATTAACCTCTACAATAATTACGTCACAATTTGACAGATCAGAGATCACAATTCACAGATGACAGACACGCTGAAGTTGGCTGCATACCACGCGATGCAGTTTTTATGTGTTCTGTAGTCGGCCCTGCACTGTAAGTCCACTACACACCGACAGATGGCGTCCGGTACGAAAAAAACGCGAACATTTCGAAAATTCACACATTTATATAGCATTGCGGTTTTTCTTTAAATCACCAGAGAGTCTCCACATGTATGTTGAAAATCACTAGGTTTTAGACATACCTGAATCGTGATGAAAAAGTCTGAAATTGATCTTGAAATTCACCAGATCTAGTGACAAAATCACCAAATTGCAACACTGCCACTCGGGTCCCGACAGGTCTGTGACTGTCCTCCCTACCACTTCACCACCCGCTGCAAGCCCCACCCCAAATCTTCCCGTTTCATTGCCGGACCCTGTACTAAGCTCATAATATATGTGTTTGGTTAAGTAGTACGTTTAATAATATGCATCGTATTTCCTAAAACGGCGTTCCATATATTTGGGATTGCAGGAGCTTGCCGAATTTGTGAAATCTGCCAGATAACATTAGATGACATTGAAGATTCGGGAACCCTGTTAATTGTGAAACTTAAGCAAACAAAGAATGATGTAAACAGAAGATTTGTAGTTACTGAAGTATACATTAAATTTTACAGAATGTACGTAGCTCTTCGTCCAGCAGCAGCAAAGGACCGCCGTCTGTTTTATGCATATCGCAATGGTAAATGTATCAATCAAGTTGTGGGTAAAAATCAGTTTTATAAGGTAACTGAAACAGTCGCTAATTTTCTTCAACTTGAAAATGCTAACTTATATACTGGTCATTCATTTCGAAGATCGTCTGCTACACTTTTAGTTGAATCTGGGGGAGACTTGATGGCACTAAAGAAACATGGTGGTTGGAAGTCATCCACGGTCGCTGAAGGGTACGTTGATGAATCGGTAGCACACAGGACCGAAATAGCAAATAAAGTGTTCAGAGTGTTATTATACACATTTTAATTTACAAACCTATAGCAATTAAGTAGTAGTGGCAACACTGCAGATGTAAGGTAGGAGTGTGTGAATGTCGTTTTAGCTGTACCATGTGTTTTGTATTAAGTTCTTTTTCTCAATGTTCGTTTTCAATATATAAATGTAATTAACCGAGTTATTGCTTCCTGGCTAATTTCCACATCAAACCTAACATTGGTTATGGGCCCAGTAGCCAGAAGGAGCGGAAAAGTAAATAAAGTAATTGGAGAGTGGAGGTTATAGATAAGCAAGGAAGTGTCTATAGTCACGGCAGTTGTGTGGCTCTTCAAAAATAAAGGTCGGTTTGCTAAAGTTTTAGCAATGGAAAATTATATATCGAGTGAGAACATAATCAAAGGTGAGAACAAACATGGAATTGTTCCATTTAAAGGAGACGGTTTGTAACGTTAATTAAATCCTTGTATGTCGTATGTGTTGCCTACAGTCTTGTTTACTTATTTATTGTTTGTACTTGACCTATTGACTTATTTCTGATATTTTCTTCTCTTCCTGTCACATTGTTGGAACTTGATTTTTCTTCTTGTACATTTCCTGGTTTCGGCCATTCCGTCTTCTGATAGCTTCGTGTGAGCATGGTACGATTCCAGTAGCCACTCTAAAAAGCCATTGCAAATCTCAAATTTTGAGGATATATGAGTGCACTGTTGAATAAGTTCTTACCTAAGTTATTGAAGTATTTTGGAGTACGGTATTGAACAGCATCGCTTCGGCGGACACAAAAATCGTACAAACCATTCGGTTTACTTGAGAAGCTCGAAACATCTTCGAGGTAATTATTACATATGTAAAACTTATTGTAATGGTCGAATCTATTCTAGCTTCTTTTCTTTTTACGTCTACTTTTTGTCCTATTGTCGATGTATCGTCTCTGAACTGACCTGTCACCGGATTGAGGATTTTGCTGCGGACAATCATCACCAAGTGGAGAACAACAGCCACGAGTTCCCTGTGCCGAGACCGGAACGTCCACTCAACTTCCAGGTCAGAGCATTCCGTTTGTGTCGTCCATTTGTTCCCTGTGAAGTCATCGATTTATCCAAACTGTAACTGTATAAAATTGTGTTAATCAAGACTATTGGATTTATTTACTTACTTAATTACTTACCTTTCAATATTTCAAAAGCCTTCAGCTACATGTAAAAATTATTATTTTATTGGGGTTATGTAGAAACATAAACAAAATCCGTCTAATCATTAGAACTACTTTTGAACATCATAACTATTCATTT